AATGTTTGTGGAATTGGGGGTCATCATGATGGAGGGTGGGGGTGCTACTGTAATCCAGGGGGTGGAGGGCAGGGACGCTGCTGAACATGTCACAGTGCATGTGACAGACCCCCACAACAGGCAGTGATCCATCCAGGATGGCGGGACAGCCAAAGTGGAGAAGCCTCCATCTAAGCTGTTGGTGAAGGGGTGACCCGCAGCCCAGCAGCCACAAACAAACAAGCATTTGGGAGCTTGCAAGTGGAGGGTCCTGGTCCACACCCAGAGCCGCCGGCGGGAGTCTACATTCCCACAAGCCCCAGGGGATTCCTCTGCACATCAGGGTGTGAGAATCGCTGCTCCCTGTGACCCCAATGCCTAGAGGGGACACTTGACAGCAAAAGGCAAGGGTCCTACCAGAGCACAGGGCTCCGCAGCAGCTCTAACTAGCCAGCTCATTGAACACCTTCAAGATAGTTCTTGCAAGGAATGATTTGCCCTGATGAAGATGCCAGTCACCAGCTAAAGAGCCCATCACAACATGACTGTCCCCTGCCTGCTGGGACCCTGCTCTCCAGCCTGTTGTCCCAGGCTCTGAATCTCTCAACCAAAGAGAACAGCTGCTCCTTACACCTCCCATCTTCCCGGTGGTTCAGGCAGCCCTGCTTCACCTCAACCCCGTCAAACACCAAAGTACGGGCAGAACATCCCTGAGCTGCTGGACAGCCAGGGGGACACGTGCAGCCTCTGCAGCTGAGTGGCTGGCCTGGAGTCTGGCCCTGCTGTGTGGAGTGTCATTCCATGGAGGTGTACCTTCTCTCCCCCTAGGAAACGGAGGCTAGAAGGAGCGTCTACTTATGAGTTTACTTTCCTGTGAAGGGGAAGTGAGATGATTTAGCCATGCAACACGTATTTCTTGAGCTCCTGTGAAGAGCCCAGGAACTCAAAGCTGCAGTGAGCCGTGATCATGCCACTGCACTCCAGCCTGGGTGACAGAGCAAGACCCTGAAAGGTGAAGATAACCATGTGATGTCTTGATTATTTTGAATAAAGCAGACAGCATATTAGCAACCTTAAACAACGTGCAATGATTTCAGCTAGCTCTTAGCCTCCTCACCTCTTCACACCCCTCCCTTATGGCTCTAGGCCCCACCCCAACCTCTTCCCTGCAGCTCTGGGGTGTCGTGGATGGCTCCAGGGTGCAATGCTCCCCTCACCCCTGGGTCCTTCCCCACCTGTCCTTTTTGCTCGGAGGCCTCCTTTCCCCCTGGAAGCCCTGCACCAGGCTGCTTGACATCTGGGACTCCGTCCTCCTCCTAGGCAGAAGCTCCTGGATTTGCAGCTCACCCTCCCAGCACGTGGCCCTGCCTCCACCTTTCCGTTTACTTGGTCTTGAATAAATAACAGACAACCTAGTAAAAACTCTGGCAAGATTCTGGGCCTTCATAAACAATGAATTTGTGACTTTGAAAGTGAGCTCATTTTACGTGCAATTATTCTGAGTGGCACACAATCACCCAGGCAGCTGGGAAACAGCCTTGCTGTTGATGAACAGGAGCTGACCGCGTCTTCAGTGGCTGTTTTCACTATTATCAGTCATTTGGAAAAGTAGAATGCCATGCTCAAGGCCAGAGCCACCACTCCTAAATCCGCTCCCCTCCACCTGCAGTCCTCCCTCCTCACCGCCCTCTCTCAAAGCAAACAAGGAAACCAGGAGAAGCAAACGGCCTGGGCCAGAGTGAAATGGAACCACCCACACTAGCACTGCCACATGGTGACCACACAACTGTCTCGGGAACCACTCCACGTTCTTCTGCCTCTTACCGTCACGTATGCTAGCCACCCACTATGGGCCATGTCCTGTCCTGCTCTGTGGGGACCCCTCATGACAATACTATGTCATCAGCATCTGTACCAGAACAACGTACACCAAACCAGGAAGAATCAGGCCAACTTAACAAAGACAGACACTTCAAAATAGGGGAGGGTGTTTCTGGCAGACACTGAGGACTGTGCACAGTTCTGAGATATAAAAAACCTGGTTATTTGGAGGGAACATCATGCAGGGAGTTTGTGATGGCAAGAATGGGTGTTGGAAACCAAGCCAGCATTGCAGCGTAAAGTGTCTTATGTGCAACATTCAGAGTTTGGAATTTATCCCGCTGCCAGGGAGAATCTTCCTGGCGGTGGGACAGGAAGAGAGGGAGACATGAGTGGCTCTGTGTTCTGCATAACTGGAGTAGCCCAGCAGAGGTGGGCTGTGAAGAGGCTGAGCGTTGCAACTAGAGGTGATGGAGACCAAAGATTTACCATGCAGGCGAAGCCTCCAGGCAGCAGGCACAGAGAATAGATTGTAAATGTTTTCTGTTAGACTTAAGGTCTGCGCTGATGTTAGTGCCATACCCAAGAGGTGAAGGAGGCACATCCAACCCCCGCTTCCCATCATGGCCTGAAGCAGTCTCTAAGGTTAAATTTTAAGAGTACCCTGGCAGAGGAGGAAGTCCATTTAGATGATTGAGAGGCCTTAGAAATTTACTTTCGGGCTGGGCGCGGTAGCTCACACCTGGAATCCCAGCACTTTGGGAGGCAGAGGCAGGCGAACCACGAGGTCAGGAGTTGCAGACCAGCCTGGCCAACATGGTAAAACCCCATCTCTACTGAAAATACAAAAATTAATCGGGCGTGGTGGCGGGCACCTGTAATCCCAGCTACTCGGGAGGCTGAGGAAGGAGAACCACTTGAAAACAGGAGGCAGAGGTTGCAGTGAGCCGAGATCATGCCATTGCACTCCAGCCTTGGCGACAGAGCAGGACTCCATCTCAAAAAGAAAAAAAAAAGAAGAAGAAATTTTCTTTTGGTTTATACTATTATCTCTGCCCTCCACAGCAGATCAGGAAGCAGCCCAGCGAGAGGCGGCCTCCAGGGATTGGCTGATCTATTAGGATCTGCAGAGCCTGTCTCTTCAACCCCCTTGGTTTTTGTTCTTCATTAGGCTTCTCCATCGTGAGTCCCTTGCCTCTTCTGGCCTTGCTTTAAGGGATAAGAATGTAAGCTCTGTGGGCACAGGCCTGCCTCTACACTGGCCACCCACTCTGCCCAGTGCCACCACTAGCATGGTCATTGGCACGGGGAGGTGATAAATAGTAATGCTTGAATGAAGGATTAAATGCGCATGTGGAGGAAACAGCACTGGTCTCACAACTACTGAGAAGTTGCTGCAGCCACTGCAGAAGTTCTGATTCCGTAGATCGGGGGCCAGGCCTGAGAATCTGCATTCCTCTCAAGTTCCCGGGTGATGCTGACACTGCTGGTCCAGGGACCACACTTTAAGAACCGCTGGCTGAGACCAAGAGTGTGTTTCCAGGAGTCCGGGACTCCAGGGTTCATGAGCTCAGCAACAGAAACACCACCTTGCGGAGAAGGCTGTGACCTAAAGGAGCCACCACAAGCCCACCTTTCTACTCCCGGCATATCTGGCAGGTTTGCAATGGTGGGCGCACTTCCAAACCCGCCAGAGCAAGCTTTCCTCTCCTTCAACCGAGGCTGCGTTTTTCGATGTAATGAGGTCCCGTGACTTGCAGCCCCCATTTCTGGAGGTAACATCAACCGCTAGCCTGTGTGTCTCGATGAAGCAACTATTTGAAGAGTTTCTTACTCTTCAGCTGCAATGAAGAAAGCACAGGAACGGCAGGTCCAGCCGCCTGTGTGGAATAGCAGTCTCTGTTTCTCCCCAAGCACCTCCATCTTCCAGAAAAACTGGCTGGGGGAGTGCTAAGACTCAAGCGATAATAGAGTCAGGTGAGTGGACGGACAAAGTGTGCTGTATACACACAGCAGAATGTTCCTCAACTTCAGAAGGAGGGAACGCTGATGCGCTTCATACTGTGGATGAGCCTGGAGGGCATCACCCAAGTGAAAGAAGCCAGACACAAAAGGGCAAACACTGTCCATTTCTTCCCTGAGACGCTGGACTTGGTAGATTCGTGGAGACGGAAAGGAGAATGGTGGGTGTCAGGGCCTGGGGCCAGGGTGGACGGGGAGGACCCTGTAATGCGTCCACGGTTTCCATTTGGGAAGATGAAGTTCTGGAGCTGGATGGTGGCGATGGTGGTACAAGGAGAATGTACTTAATGCCACCGAACTGTGCACTTCAGACTGTTTTATGTTGTATTTCAGCATGATTAAAACAAAAAGGCTGTGGAAATTCACCTTCATTCCCCCTCCCCACCCCCTTTTTATTTTTTTGAGACGGAGTGTTACTTCTTACTCTGTCTCCAGGCTGGAGTGCAGTGGCACCATGTCGTCTCACCACAACTTCCGCCTTCCATGTTCAAGCAATTCTCCTGCCTCAGACTCCCAAGTAGCTGGGATTACAGGCATGCGCTACCATACCCAGCTAATTTTGTATTTTTAGTAGAGACAGAGTGTCATCCTGTTGGCCAGGATGGTCTCCATCTCCTGACCTCGTGATCCGCCGGCCTCGGCCTCCCAAAGTGCAGATTACAGGTGTGAGCCACCGCGCCTGGCCTGGTGATTCTTAAAGAAAGAAAATGTAGAATTCCCCACAAATGCTTTCAAAGGCTGAATCTCAAAATAAAGCCACACACACATTCTCACACACACATCACAAACACACACATTCTCACGCGCACTCACGCTCAATCCTCATTCACACACACGCGCGCACACACACACACACACACACACACACTCACAGGTGACCCCTGTCCCGCCGTGTTTTGCCTCCCCACCCAGAAACGTGCGTTCCTCCCGCAGTAGTTTCCAAAGTGTGGTTAGACGTGTGAGAAATGCACATTCTGGGGCCCCAGCCCCGACCTCCTGAGTCGGCTGGCCTGGGGGTGGGGCCTGGGAATCCGAGTTGAGACCCGCCCTCCCCGGGCCTGCCGCGCTCCCGTCGGGGAATTCCCGCCCGCACCGGAGCCGGGGCCGGGGTCCACGCGCGGGGACTCGGGAGCAACGACCTCTGCTCCCCGCGGTACCGCCCCCCGGGTGGAGCCTGGGGCCCCGCCTCGCAGAGCTGGGGCTGCACCCGGGGCGGCGGGGCCGGGCCTGGACGCCAGGTCTAAGGAGCCGCACCTGCCAGGAGCGCGTCCCGCCTGCCGGTCGAAGGAGCCCTCGGAGCCGCAGCCATGGGTACGCTCGGCGGGCGGGGGGTGCGGGGGGGGCGCCGCGGGGGGCCGGCCGGACTTGGGACTCGGGTCCCCGCCGTCACCTGGCGCTCAGAGCGGCGTGGGCACGGGGGCGCGAGAAGGGGACACGGCGGTGGGAAGCAGGACGACCTGGAGGCCTACGGGGTCCGGGAGGTTGCGGGGCGCCCGAGGTCCTCTCCCGGGTGGTCACCGCGCGGAGGCCGGCGGGCCCAGAGGCGCCCACTCCGCCGAGGTTGCTATCCTGACCCGCCCGCCCGTTGGGCACTGCGGTCCTAGTGTTCCCACCCTGCGGGCCGGGCGTGCGCTGGGAGCGGGACCCCGCGGGCGACAGTAGGACCCGCAGAAACGCCGTCGAACTGGGCGCCTCGCGGCTGCCTCAGCACTTCTCTTGCCTCTGGCTGGCGAAGGGACCCTGGAGTTCCGCGGGGAGCCCTGACCCGAGAGGAGTTGGGGCCCTCTCTTTAAGGCCCCCTCTTAACCCTCTGCACTGTGCCCCGGCTTAATTTCAGGCACTTTCTGTGCCTTATAGAAGATGAGGAGCTGGCTCTTGATGAGGCTAGAGCAGCTAGGAGGCACCTTGACTCCTGCCCCGCTTCCGAATTAACCACCCTGGAACTGAGGCAGACTCGAGAATGAACGCAGACCCGGAGAGCTGCGCGAGAGCAGCCCGGCCTGCTGCTTTCTTAAAGATGAGAAGCCCACTCAGCTCCCCAAAGTTGTGCCATGGATGCCCCAGGCCAGCACTTTGCAGAAGATGCGGCCACGTGGGTGAAGGGATCTGAGCCTGTAGACAGGAATGCCGGTCTGTGGCTGCCTCAGTGGTCCCGGTGGGGTGATATGTGTCCTGCCCAGCCCCCGGGTGCACCCGCCCCCTGGCTCTCAGGACGCCTGCCGGGCACACCGTGTGTGGTTCGTAAGGAGAAGCAATGAGTGGTTCACATTTTGGACTTATAATTGTGGCCAGCTGTGCCTGCTCCAGAAAGACCTACAACTTCCCTCTGCCAGGCTGTGGCAGAGCTCAGCTCGCCAGGCAGATTCCTGGGCTGCAGTTCTGGGTCCCGCCTCAAACCAGTCCCACCTGTCACTCCATGTAACTTTGCTGGGAGGTGCTCTGAACTATTTCTGTCGATCGTCAAATACCAGATACCTGAGTAGCATCCTTGTTGAGTTGGAATTCATGACCCGTGTTTAGCACTTTAGCAGATCCAATCCGGATCGCTGTTGAAGGCAGCTGCCTGGTTGTTGGTGAAGGAATACAGTTAGCTTTTGAAGCCTCCAAATGAAGGGACGCGTTCTAGTCTGCCACTGGTCCTCTCCGTTTATTTGCAACTGAGATTGACAAAGCATGTGAATAGCAGCAAAAAAGTTTATATGCAAACACTGATTTGATTTTTACTGAAGCCCCAACTTTTCAATATCGAGGGTTAGTTAGCAAATGAAAAAAATGTTTAATGGTTGTTAAGGGGAAAGAAAGTAGTAACTTTTCAAGAACAGATCTTTGGTGCTTAGGTCATGCCAGCATTGTTTCTGATCCCTAGTCACCGAGGGGACACTTGAAGCAGTTGGTGAACGAGGCAGGAGACGAGGAGGGCATGGTCCTTAGAGAATCTGGTGCCTCCTGCGTCTGACTTCGTCCCACTGGAATTGGAACAAATTTTCCCAGTAGATGCTTTTTCACCCTTTGAGAATCCAGGAGCAGAAGTTCTGAATGAATAGGAAAGTGAGGGAGAGGGATCGGATGAGACTCAGAACTGTACCATCAAGGCATTTATTAGACTTAGCAACAGAAGCAAGGAGAATCCACAACAGCTGACAGGGTAAATACAAGTAGCTCAGGATGTGACCACAGCCAGCCAAACCTTGCTCAGCGTCTTGTTGGGCTCATCAACGGCACCTCCTTTGTTTAAAGCAGTGGTCCAGTGGTCGACAATCTCTTCTGGGAAGCGCCAGGGAGGAAATGCTTTGGATCCTGGGGGGGACCAGGTGGTCTCCATGGCAACTTCTTAATGCTGTAGTTCTAAAGCAGCTGTAGACAATAGACAAATAAGTGGGCAGGCCAGTTTCAATAAAACTTCATATACTTGGACGTTTGAATTTTAAGTAATTTTCACGTGCCACAACATAATCTTCAAAAACTTTTCTCAATCCCTTAAAAATATAAGAACCATTCGTAGCTTGTGAGCCACACAGAAACAGGGGGTGGGCCAGATTCAGCCCGTGAGCCACAGTTTGGGGACCCTTGCTTTAAGTGATCTTTGTGCTTCTTAGAGCCTGGGGTGAGAGATGCCATTTTCCCAAGGGCTGTCAGTTGAATTAAGTCTCCAAATAGCAGAAAACTTCTTAGATGCTGGGAAGAAGGCTCAGTAAGAAAAAGCAGCCTCTGAAGCCTCCGTGGGGTCATAGGGCTGGGGATGCTTTTGCGGAAGATTTCGACTAATTGGTCTCTTTCCTCCCACCCCACCTCACTCCCTCATCGAAGCTTAGCAAGACCCTATGCTAAATGGACTCTGAAAATTAGGTGCAAGTCTTCAGGTTGTATGCAGCAAGCTTCCACCTCTATCTGCCAAGACCTCCAGGTTGATGGGAGATATTCACTCACTTAATGAAGGAGGCTTTATTCTCCTCCTGCCCCACCAGGTCTCAGCCTCCTGGCTGGCCTTGTTTGTGATTCTGATGAGTTTTTCCAAGTCAGCTGCCTGGGCTTAAAATGATGGGTAAGCGGTGAAGGTCCCTCACACCTGGAGAGTGCCTCCTACTCCCTCCCCCTCCTGTCAGCTCTTGAGTCAACCGGAGAACAATGATGAAGTACCAGGGCAGCTGGTGGCCCCACACTGCAGAAGGCCTTTGGCATAGGACCTTTGGGAGAACCTACCTCCTAGCCGGCAGCAAGGAGAGAACTTCTAACATTGGGTTCTTTCTGGCTAAGATTGCTCTGAGTCAGCAGTTTTCAAACTTGAGTGTGCCTCAGGCTCATAGGAGTGAGGGCCTGTTCCAGCAGCGGGGCTTGCCAGACCCCTCTCCTGGAGTCTCTGGAGCAGTAGGTGCGGGGCAGAGCCTAAGCACAGGGCCACGTTCCCAGGTGGGGTGATGCTGCGGGCCCCAGGCCCTCGCTTGGAGAACCCTGGCTCTCAGGAACCCCATTTTCTTTTTCTTGACCCCTGCCCATGTGCAAATGTTGCTACTGTGCCCTAAAAATTGGGCTGTGGGAAGATCTATGCAGTCTGGCCCACGGTTTGTCTGTGTGGGTACATGTCCATGATGACGAAGCGTTGGGTAAATTAGCAGGTAGAACTTGAGAATTAGCCGGCCGGTGCTGTCAGCGTAGGGAGGGCTGGGCGCTGCGGCTCACACCTGTAATCTCAGCATTTCGGGAGGCTGAGACAAGCGGGTCATTTGAGCTCAGGAGTTTGAGAGCAGTCTGGACAACATGGCAAAACCCTGTCTCTACAAAAAAAAAAAAAAAATACAAAAAATTTGCTAGGCCTGGTGGCGCGCACCTCTAGTCCCAGCTACTCTAGAGGCTGAGGCCAGTGGATGGCTTGAGCCCAGGAGGTGGAGGTTGCAGTGAGCTAAGATTGCTCCAGCTTGGGCAACAGAGGGACTGTATCTGAAAGGACAACAACCAAACAGAAAGAAGTAGGGAGGGGTAGAAATGAATAGGAGCCATCATGAATGCGGCTCTGCTGGGCTCACCAGATGCTCCAAGTCCTCAGCTCTGCAGGAATTTACCTACCATGTGAGGACGAAATAACCTCGCCTTGGAGAAAGTCAAGTCCTCAGGGGGCAGGAACAGAAACCCCATAAACAACACTTCTACTCCGAGTTAGAGTTGAGGAAAATGAGGTACTATGAGACCAGTGAAAGCAGCACCTAGGAGTGTTTGTCTCCGCTGAAGGGTTTGCCTGCTGTGGATCTGCCCCGTTTGAATGGATGCTAAATGTTTGCATGGACCTTCACCTCTCTTACAAAATGTCTTGAGTAGAATTATTCCATTTTTTGTTCACTTGGGTTTTTTTGTTTGTTCATTTGTTTTTTGAGACGGAGTCTTGCTCTGTTGCCCAGGCTGGAGTACAGTGGCGCGATCTCGGCTCACTGCAACCTCTGCCTCCTGGGTTCAAGCGATTCTCCTGCCTCAGCCTCCCGAGTAGCTGGGACTACAGGCATGTGCTACCATGCCCAGCTAATTATTTTTGTATTTTTAGTAAAGACAGGGTTTCACCATGTTGTTCAGGCTAGTCTCAAACTCCTGACCTCATGATCTACCCACCTTGGCTTCCCAAAGTGCTGGGATTACAGGCGTGAGCCACTGCACCTGGCTGGGTTTTTTTGATTAATAATTTTTTGTACTGCCCTTTGAGTTACTGAACCATTCCATGAAGAACAAACAGCGCTTACTCAATGGTCTAGTTAAGCCACCAGGAATCTCCTCCCTAGAAAACGGCGCAGCTACTCTCTTCCCCACAGCGGAGCTGCTAATGACTGGGGGCCTGGTGTGGAACCGTGGAGCTGAGACTCCCCAGCCAGTTGTGTTCCCATGGCAGGGGCGGCAGTCCCAGACACAGTCACATCTCGATTCTATGCCTTGCAGAAGAGAAAAGTGGGTAGGTGCCCCGGGTGAGCTGATAAGGAAATAAATACAAGGGTCAGGCCTGAGGAAGCTTTCCACGTTCTTCCATGAGGACAGTGAAAGAGAAAGCAGTGTTCTCAGTGGAGCGAGCACTGTGACTCATCATCCTGGGGTTACAGCACAGAGAACCAAGGAATCACTTTTTTATACCTTTGTCCTTTGGTTTCAGAAGCTGGAGGCCTATTGTGGAGGACAGTGGACCCTTGGGTCATCTCATGGATGTCATTTCAAGAGGGCTTTGTCAGCCAGGCGGGGCCCCTCTGCTCTTGGCCCCTCTGGTTTTTGGGGTTTAGGATGAGTGCAGCTATGAGAATACCTCATATGGGAAGTGCCACAGCTGCAGGGCAGAGGGACAG